ACGGTGCCGGCCGCCGCTCGCGCTTCGGTCGGCGTTCCGGCTCCCTGGGAGGATGTACCTCCGGGGCGGGGGGGGGGGGGGGGGGGGCAGAAGACATCTCCGCTTGAACATGGTCTCTAGTGCGCAACCGAGTGGTCAGATCCTCTTGCCCCCCTTCCCGGGGAGGTGCGCGGGCGGGCGGGGCAGGCTGGCGTGCCCGTCTGGGCTGACCGCCTTTCGTTGGGCCCCGCCACCTTTGCCCCGATCTCCCATCGTGCCTGTGTCTCAATGCCCACCCAAAGCACACATACCGGAGGGCGCGGGGGGGGGGGCGTACCTGGGAGACCCACCCAAAGGCCCTGCGGGCCGGGGGCTGCCAGCTGCGGCAGCAACCCACCACCTGCGCCTCGCGGGAACTCGGGACGATCGGTCTGGCGACCTTGTTTGATAGCTAGGCCCCCCGCCCCCCCGCCCTCAACCTCGACAGTGGAGTCCCAGCGCGTGGGGCTTGCCCAGTCCCGGGGCCTGCCCAAACATGATGTGTTTCTCTCTCCCTCTCCCTCCACGCCTCGGCGGGCCATTGAGAGAGAGGGACCTCGGACCCGGGAGAGGGAGCGTCGGGTGGGAAGCCCGCACAGCCGGAGGGCCCCCCGGGCGGCGATGCATTTCTCCTGGGCCCCCTTCGCTCCGGGTGTTCATGCCAGCCGTCCGGCGCGTGGCTGGGACCCGCCTTTCGCCAGGGGGGGGGGGGGGGGCGCGGACGGGGCAGGGAGCCGGTCGCCAATCGCATTGCCCTGCTCTCCTGGGCCCCGCGCCTCGGCCGCCACTTCGTCGCTTGGTTTTCCTCGCCCTTCGCTTTTTCTCACTCGTCCTCTCTCTCCCTCGGCATGTCTCTCGCGCACGGGGCTGGGCTGGATATTCTTCCGATATCCGGGCGGCTTGATTGGCACCTTACATGCGACGCTGGCCCCCCGGAGGCGAGAGGAGGGGCCACCCGGCGGCAGGCCGTTTCTGCAGCCCCCTTTCCTTGCGGACCGGCGTCACACCCCCGGGCATGGGCCTGCCTTTTTGCATATCCCCCGCCGGAGCTCTGTCAGCCGGAGAAGCCTGCTTGGGCGCGTTTGTGTGCGCGCGCGCGCGCGCGCTCGCTCGCGCGTGGAGCAGCAGCGGGGGGGGGTGGGGGGGGGTGGGCAGGGAACGGGCCCAAGGTGGGCTGCTTGGCCTGCCTTTGTGCCCCCCTCGCCCCGGGCGGCGACCGGGCCCGGTGGACGACCGTCCCTGGCGGGGGGCACTTTTTTCGGTGGCCCACCGGCAGCCTTGCCTGGGGAGGGCCCCTCCACCGCCCCGCATCAGGCCTGATTTGCGGCTTGCCTCTCTTCCTTCCCCCCCCTCCTCCCCCCTCCCCATCCTTTCGCCCTCTCCTGCCTTCACGTTGTTGAGGTGCCCTTCGCCTGTCCTATTGTCTAGGCGGCGGCCCCCCTTCCCCCCCCCCCTCCCCTCCACCCCCTACCCCACCCTCGTCCCCTTCCCCACCTCCTCCTTGCTATTGCTCCTCGCCTTTGGCAAGTCCCCCTCCCGTGCGTTTCCTTTCCTCCCCCTCCCCCGCCCCCCTCATGTGCACAGCCAGTCTCATGAGCACCCGGCCACC